GCGGTGCACCGGTGCTCGGAAAGAAGCACACTCAACGGGCCATGAGAACAAAAAAGTATGAATCAAGCGAAAACGCCATTCGAATTAAGCGGCTCATAAATACATTAAAAACATAGCGGGACAGCCAAAATTTTCAAATCTGTTTAAAATAACCAGAAGTATGAATTATCCGAGTTTCAATTATCTCCAGCCCACTGTATTGCCTATTTTTCTGCCCCCAAGTCCTCAAGCCTTTGCTCAGGGCACTCAATGGCGCTTCCAGCTCATTTTCCCTGACTGGGCTCGCTTTTTGAAAATATCCCTGACAATTCCTAGATTTTTCCCGGTAATAAAAATTTCCTTGACAATTCCCGGTTTTCCCGATTGCTAGACAGCCTGGTTAACGCTGTGGCGTGGCTCAGCGGCAACACCTCCGCTTTGCGCGCAGCGGAGCCAGGTTCAATTTCCGTGGGCGGCGGGCAATCTTTTTCGAGGACTTGGCAACATCGACGACGGATGCGCTACATCGTCAACTACAACATCGACGATGGACGTCATTTCTATAGTCGGTGACAGGTTAAGAATAAGGTGGAAGGTCTTCCTAACTCTTTCCACTTCAGTAAAGCAAACGATAAAGAGGAGACCACCTTTTCTCCAGCGTTAGCTCTGCCAAAGTGGAAAGAGGTGGGAGGATCTTCCACTTAAAGGGGCACCGACACTCCAGAGGTCACATTTTTTTTATTGTCTTAAACAATGCGAGCTGTAGTCATAGACACGCAAAAAAATACCACGTTGCGAAAAAAAATTTTCCCACATGTGCGCCCCTTTTTATTTTTGTCACTTTTCTCTCCCGCTCCTCACCTCCTCGCTTCTTTTGATTTCCGACGTCAAAAATCATGAAATTTAGAAGCTTAGTAGGCAACATTTCTATAACAATTAATAAATGCAATCGTAAAACGTGTTTTCTAACGCAATTGCGAACGCAGTATGGCCCTTCTTTTTGAAATACCGAAAATCAGAGTCCGTTGTGATGTCGCCTCCTGGCTTCTTAGCCTCCCTCGAAAAACATGGCGGCGCTCCATGCACATAGCAGAGGATGATTGGTGAGTCGGGGAATCGGACAAAGTGGTCTTTTTTAGGCGCCCGACGACCTCTCAAACTTTGAAAAGGAAATCGTCAGACAGTCAAAACATCTGGGTTTGTTGGTGTCTGTGTATCATAGTTTCGGTTGTGACTCCGCCAGGCAGCGTCGTCTGCTCGAAGCGATAGGCAGCACGGCACGCACAGAGGAAACCGGTTTCCCGGCACGCCAGGGTTCTTCCCTCCCGGTCCTCAACTCCTCGCTTCGGGTAGCAGCGACACGTTTTCCCAAGCTTCAAATCTTGAGGGTAATGTGGCATCGTTTTTAATTGTTTCGCATAAAAAAAAAAAAAAAAAAAAGATTTTGACGTGTCAGTGCCTCTTAACTTGTTATCGACTTTAGTAGTGGAAAGAGCCCGTAACAGCTGTTGCTGTAAAAAAATGCATATTGTCGAGCTGCCAGCAATACTTCCTCACACAGACAACTTGTGCAAACGCCATCTCACTACTATTCCTAGAACTAACATCTTTTTTCGCCACTGCAACAATCAGTTTTCAGGTGGAATTCACTTCCGGAAAATGTTGTAACCTTACGGGACCCCACCAATTTTCGAAACACACTCGTCGCCGCGTTTGAAATAAAACGACCTAACAACTGTTTTATGGTATTTTTTTTCTTACTGCTAGTCAATATGTATTCTAAAGTTTTGTCCCCCCTTACGGAAACCCCTCTGCAGGTGATTTAAAGGGATACTGAAATGAAAATTATACCTTACATTCAAAAGTGATTTAAACACGATCAACGAAATTAGGTAATGACAATAGAGTATTCATATTTTGAACGAATCGCTACGTTTTTCGTTCCTAATGGCCGAATCCAGCAAGCGCCCCAAGAGCAGCTGATTGGAGTGCGCGATGCGTCTCGGGAAAACCGGCGCCTCCAACGCGTTTGTGTTATCACTTTTACCCTTTGAAGTGAATTGAATCTTATTTTCAGCAACATTGTGGCAAGGACACTTGACAGAAAACTACCAAGAGCTAGCTTGAGTGGGTCCAATGCCCTTGCAAGTACAGGGAAGGCACAATTTAAAAAAAATCACATCTAAACATTCCTAAAAATTATACAAAAGAACCCGACACATTTCGCACAAATTCCTATCAGAACAATTAAAAACATTCCTATAAAATTCCCGCAAAACTTCCCTCACGAGCGAGGCTACAGGGAGGCCTGGGTGGTTGCGAGCTTCGCCTCTCGGTGGCATCGACGCGTTTCCACCTGCCCGTTCGAGATGCCCGCTCTCCGCTCCCCGCAGGAGTTGAACAGGTGCGGGAGAGAAGGGGAACCCGGTTTGGCCAAGTTTGACGGTGCTCCCGCGCACGCAGCTTGCCGCCGTACTTCTGCGGGCTGCTTTTACGGGTAGTCTGACGTAACGACATCCGGCTTATTCGTTTTAAATATTGTTTTAGTGTCTATTAGAGCAAAAAGTTGGTGTCTCCGTGGTGTGGCCAGAACATGGTTGACAATTGGGCAATAAAATAGGCGCGAGAATTTCGTTGCAGTACTACTAGCTGTTTAAGGGAACAACAAACGAAATGAAACGCCGCATTTACCGCCAATGCTGCGCCACCACCAGCATCGTGGTAGGCAGAAGCGTGACACCTGTACGGTGTCACCGGGGCCGGTTTGCTCACCAATCCGGCCACCTCTCCCGGCGGCTAAAACAGGCACAAACGGGATTCGCGGCAGCACGAATGACTCGGAGGGCAGGACGTGCCTAGCGTTCCAGCCGATTCTGCTCAGAAAAATGCGAGCCTTGCCAGTCGTTTTCTTAAACTCTCGCCTAACATGACCTTCTCCACAACTAAGTTTACGTGCCGTTCCTATAGCATACGCGTGCGGTTCGTATCACTCACGTTTTGATCCTCTTCGCTCTTTTTTCGTGTGCGGGAATTGAATTTTACTAAACGAAGCGAGGACGGAACTGCAGCGGCCGTTTGCCTGTCTTGGCGTTGACTGTTTTGTGAAACTTATAGCGGAGGATGGCGCAGCTTCCTTAGTCTTCTAGAAATGTCAAAGCTACTTGCCCGAGCGCCTCGCTTCACCTGCCGTCTCTTTCGTGCCAGAGTGCGAGCGAATGAGATGCGAGACGAAGCCACGTGCTCTTGCGGCACCGCTGTGCTGAAGCACTGTGGAAGCTACACTAGCCTTGATAACGTAACAAAAAAAAACTGATACCAATCTTTTTTTTTTTTTTTTTTTTAAAGGTATTTTGTTTTGAGCAGACCGGTCATGTGACCAGAAAATCCCCTTTAGCAACTATTGTTGGGCTGGTTTGTTGGTGGTACTGAGTAAACTTGTATGCGTAACACAGAGGACAAACTCGAAGGAGTGGACAAGGTCAACAGCTTGTCCTTGTCATTCGTGTTTGTCCTCTGTGTGGACAGATACAAGTTTACTAAAAATCCCTCTTGCAACTATTTTAGCCACTGGGAGAGACACCTGCATTCAGCAGTAAAAAAATTAAAATTGCATATTGCAATTTGATGCATATTGCAAATGCGCAAATTAAAAACGTAGCAACCAAAGTGGACCAAAAAAAAAAAGAAATGTGCATATTGCAATTTGAGACTGAGGTGCAAATTGGAGCAAGCAAGCATGCAAATTGTATGCACCAACATATGCAATGGTGGTCAGATAACCTTTATTTATAAGTACATGACCAGAATCAAACCCACTACACTAAAAGAGTCCGAGCTGCAATCTTTACCGTAGCATGCTAAAAGTTTATACAAACAGAGAACGTGGAATTTATTTCTTTAAAGAAACACAATTTTCTGAAGGATATACTACATGACTGCATGACAGTTCCAACAAGAACTCTTCCTCTCAGGTGGTACCTCAATGCAAACTTTATTACATACAGACTTCGCATCATTTTTTAAAATTTGCGAACCCTTTGCAGTTTTTTTTATTTCCTTGTCATGTCTAAAATGCAGCTCCATTTGGTACATTCTCCTAATGTCGTGTTTGTTTTTTTCGACTTTGGAGTTGCTTAATTTTGACGCACCACAGTCTTGGGTGTTACATTATGATTAATTATCACCAGCTTGCCTGCCCACTCACCGTTATTTTGTTAACAGGACACTCGAGTGTCGTGACGGCGGAATCTTCGATAACCGAAGCTAAAAGGGAAGCGGAGCCCACAGAAACAAATGGTCCTCAGAAGATGAGACACAAGGTGCAATTACCGCGTGACCGACCACTGTACAACACAGAGGAAGCGGCCACTTCGATCAAGCGCCCCCTATTAACATTTCTTAAACTTTGAAATTCTCCAAATTATACGTCAAGTGCTTGGTTAGACCGGACAAGCATCCATGTCTAGATTGACCCAGTTTTCGTTGAAAGTGGGGCAGGTGCTCCCCTGATATTTTATTGCAGTCCACATTCGACGAACAACACTGGTGGCAAGCACTTTGCCAAACGACGTTTCATCGATAGATCGTTTCATTGAAAGACTTTCCGCGTTTGTTACGTCGACACACCCTGCAAAGTTTCGTCGAACATAACCCCACATTCTTCGCAACAATCTTTTCGTGTCTTGCCCGGTTTACGGGACGAGAGAGTGGAGGGGAGAGCTTGAGGCTTAGGTAAACATGCCTCGGTGAATCAAGTGCTAAATATCAGGTTAGTTACAAACTTAGTAAGAGAAATATGTTGCTGACGAAACGTCGCGGGAGCACGTGTCCCCAAAACAAGCCTCCACGAGAGGCCACGGTGTCAAGGTGTCCGTGAAAAGTTCTCCACAGAACGTGTCTTGACAAAAAGGATATGGACCCGGAGCAAAGATGTACCTACTACGGTCTCTGCGACTTTTTCGATTCACTTAAGACTTTGGAGTGCGGCGGAGCAACTGCAAACAAAGAATGGTTCTGCTTGCCTTTTTGAGTAGAGGGCATCCTTCTCTTCAACGGCCACAAACTCGTTCTTGGGAGGCACATACTTCTCGTCCTCGGGATCTGAATGAAAATGTGAATTGCTCATCACACGTGCACCTCGTTCGGCGGTCTATTTAATGCAGAACGTGCTTTATCAGCCTAATTCCAGGAGAAGACTGTCATCAAGAACCGTCACAAAGAACTGTTATGAAGGAGTGTGACATCACAATGTCGCACGAGGGCATCACGTCACAGTCGTGTTGCGTGACATCACAGTGTCACATAACAGTGATGTCACATGATATCGGACGACTCTCACATTATGATGTCATCATGTGATAGGTCATTTGACACCATATTTGTAATGTTACAGTCACAAAATATCGCACACACATAACATGTGCCCAGCTCATTCTGTGCTTTCCAGTCTGTCAGCATGATTAAGCTAGCACAATACTTTTTTCCAATTTCTCAAGGTGAGAACGCTCTTCAATGGTGCACTGCTTCCAAAGGAATGAATGGCCGACACTGGGGGTGGGGTTGAATGGCACACAAGCACACACGGGATAAAGGGCAAAAAAAAAAAAAAATGAAAGCCGTTTACAAATCCTTGTAACGCCGAATTGGAGCGCAGCTCTTGAGGAGAAGTAGGGAAGGGTACTGAGGGGGGTCACGTCACCTGCCGGTAGTCACGTGACCCGGCGGGGTCACGTGATCTCGGGGGAGGGGGGTCACGTGACCTCGGGGGGGGGGGGGGGGGGGGGGGGGGGTCACGTGATCTTGGGGGGTCAGGTGACCTCGGGAGGGGGGGGGGGGGGGGTCACGTGACCTTGGGGGTCAGGTGACCTGGGAGGGGTCACGTGACCTCAAGGCCGCGACGTCATCGATGCCGTACTAAAGGCCGTCACCAGCACTAGAAAAGACGCTGATTGGACAAAGCGCGCGCTTGTGCAAGGCACAGCTCTCTCATTGGCCGGAACGCGCGCCTCCTCTCCTGGCTTCCCCGGCGCGTCGTCCCGGTCACTCCGCAGGTTCCCACGTCGTCTGCTTTCGCTCGCTTCGCCAATCGAGACGTACGCCACATTTGCATTTGTCCATTTTCTATATCAATATTTTCAGTGTTTTTCTTGTGCTTCCTAATGTTTTTGTATGTTCCCTGTCTTCTTCGCATCGTTCATGTAAATATTTTGATGCCTCCACTTTGTTTAGCTTTCCCTTTTCGTATATCTTTGCCCTCCTCCGTCGTCATTCTTGTTTCGTTCTGCGTGCTTCTAGTTCGCTTCGAGTTCTATTGGCTCGGGATACCCGTAAAGGCCAACATGCAGAGACTAAACACAAAGAGGAGACGTGCCTGGAACACGGAAACCTCCGCATCGAGGAAAACGACACCGTCGACTTCGCCGATGCCGCAAGCCGCTCTACCGCTGGTGGACGAAAATGGATCAAGTTTGTGTTTGACAACTTCGCTGATGCCTCAAGCCACTTTGCTGCTCGTGGGCGTGACTCAATCAAGTTTGTGTTAGACAACTTCGCCGATGCCTCAAGCCGCTTTTCCGCTCAAGGACGTGGCTAGACCAAGTTCGTCTAGAGATCGAATCGACACTGTGTTCTATACGGAGGAGGAGTGCGTGGAGCGCGAACAACGTGCAGACGACAGAAAGGCTTCGTTGGCAGATCAGTCGGCGACTTCACGGAAGTTTGAGCTCCTTGACGTCTGCATGAAAAGCGACGACACCGACCGCGGCACGGAGTACGTCATCGCGGACATGAACGTGCTACAAGAACTTTTTGCGTCCACGGCATGCGGCAAGTAAGGAATGGCTACCGCAGGATTTTCGAAGTGCAAAGAGGGGCAGTACGGCCTACCAGTGAAGTTGGTCCTCACGTGTTCGAGCTGCGATTTCGCCGAGTCGATTTCCTTCTCCACGAGTCGCCGGGGAAGCCAAGATTACGCCCTTCGAGATCAACTTGGGGGCGATGAAGGGAATACAGAGCATAGGAAAGAGGGCGACCGCACTTGCAGACTTCTGTGCAACCTTGAACCTCTCCCACCGAGGGCTTCATCATAAGACGTTCAGGGGACACATGGACACCATGGTGCAGGCTTGCCAGGCAGCAGCAACAGCCACAGAAGCAGCGAGTGTTGAGGTGGTGAAGGACGTCTACGAGAGCTTCCTCAATCCTCCCGGAAACATGGATATAATTTTTGACAGCACATGGAAGACACGTGGACACGACTCCAACATTGCAGTGGAGTGCATCCTCGAGCTTTACACTGGCCTGGTGCTGGACCACATTGTCCTCTCAAAGTGCTGCCGTGGCTGCCAGGGTGCACCTGACCCAGACGACGACAGCTATGGGGACTGGGTGATCAACCACAAGTGTATGGAGAACACTGACTGAACGCAGGACGAATGGAAGCCGAGGCAGCCCTCATTCTGTTCAAGCGGTCCCTGGCAAAGAATGGACTGCGCTACACCACCATCCTTTCCGATGGTGACTGCCGCACCTTCCATGCCCTGACACAAGACAGCGTCTATGGATACCTCGACATTGAGAAAAAAGGCAGCCTGAACCACGTACACAAGCGGGTGGGAGCAGCTCTTCGTACCCTTGTGGAGAAGACGAAGGCACAGGGAGAGTAGCTCGGAGGAAAGGGAAAGCTGACCCAGGACAAGATAAAAAAAATAATAAACTACTATGGGTACACCTTGAGATGCCACAAGCATGATGTGCCAGGGATGGAAAAGGCAGTGCAAGCAACTTTGTTGCACATGACCTCTACAGATGAAGTCCCGGACTACAGATGAAGTCCCGGACCACAGCCACTGTCCCGAGGGGGACAGTTCCTGGTGCTCCTACAAGTGGGCACTGGCCAACCACGAGGAGCCACCACCACACAAAAACCTACTGCCAGGCTTCATTCGCACTGCGCTGGAGCCAGTCTTTGAGAGGCTGGGCGACCGGGCACTCCTGAAGTGCTGCAGTGATGGCATGACACAGAACGCCATAGAGTGCCTACACTCTGTGACGTGGGGCCAGAACTCTAAGAACACACATGACTCTCTGCTGTCAGTGGAGAGGGCTGTCGCTGAAGCCGTGTCACGCTTCAACCAGGGAATGGCAAAGACGAGCAAGGCTGTAGCAGCACAGCTTGGCTACAGCACAGGTAGCTGCCTGATTCGCAGGAGTCTTGAGAAGGACAGGCGGAGGCTTAGCAAGGCCAACAAGGCTCACTCTGAGAGTGGAAAGGTCAAGAAGAGGATGGCCAAGAGATGCAAGCCTGCCAGGACCCAGGACTACAGCCCAGGACTGCTATGACCGTGTGCGCACATCGGAGACTACTGAACTGATTTCGTAGTTTTCTGTTCTTTTTGTCAGGTGCCGTTTTTCTATGGAGGTTTTGATTATGTTTCCATAAGCCGATTGCAATAAACTTGGGTGTTATTGTTTTCAGCAACAACTGACTGCAACCCGAAGCTTTTCTTTTTTCTGTAGACTTGATATATAAAAGTGCCAACATCGAAAAAACTTCAAGTGCGATTTTCTCAGCTTTGTCTTTCTTGTCCAAAGCCATTGCCTTACGGAAGTTTTCATAATGTTCGCATAAGCGGATTTCAGTAAGCTTGGTATCATTGTTTTCAGTAACAACTGATGTGTATTCTAAAGCTTTTCTTTTTCGTCTAAAATCAACAGATAAAAAGTAATTAGCTGAAACGTGGATTATTTAGTGACAAGTTTTTGCTTTGAAATTCCATGATTTATTTTTGATAGACAAAATGGTTTTGTAAACATTCAATTAGCTTTAGGATATACGGTGAACCCTTGGAAATCACTGCATATTGTTAAAATATAAATTTTTTTATGTGAAATTACGATAACGACCCATAAGAAATGATCTTATTAGAATTTTATATTTTGCCATATCTTTTGTTCTAAAAGAGATATCTGAAATTCAACTGCAAATTTGAATTTGATATATATGCATGCCAACTTTCAGAAAAGTATCTCAATAAATAAAAAAAAAAAATATTTAAGTACCCTAGTCCCACCTTAAGGCACTAGAACTACAGGTGGCAGATTCCAATCTGGAATGTGTTACCAGACCTCAAACTGGGCCACATCAGCTGTTCCAAGACCCATTTTCTGGACTATACATGTTTAAAAGTTCAAAGTTTACACGGTGCGGATTACACAAGGTTGTTTAATCTACAGGGTGTTCCCCCCAAACAGTTAGTGTTTAGCTGGTTCAGGGCTTCAAAGTTGGTTGGCACCCATTTAGTTTTCTTCATTTACCCCTTTGTACTAATTGTAATTCGCCGAAATGCCTTTGTTGATCCAGAAACAGAACCGACAATTTGGCTCAGTGGGGCGACATTGGCCTTGGGCCGCCAAAAACATGGCTACCATGTGGTATGAGCGGTCACGTGACCCACTACGCGATGACTGGCAGGATCGGGGTGTCCGTGTGCAAGGCGCAAGTTTCATCTGCACAGCAGTCTTCACCACATTTTGGTGTCTACATTTGACGATGTCTGCGCAACTGCGGCACCAGCCTGCACGCATAGTGTAAACGAAACTTCGAAAGACAATAATCACAAACGGCGAGGCGGCGAGACAACGATGACAACTGTGACGGGGGAGATGGTCGTATTGGCGGAACGAAGGACGAGAGGCGCGCTGCGCAGCCGCGTTACGCCAATCACGTGCCTAGCAATAAGAGGATACGCAACTGACGTCACCTCTCACGCTCACCCGGAGAAGTAAAAACAAACAAGAAGGCGCAATGTCGATGACGTTTGGCTCAATGTTTGCTGCACCAACACTGTAGCCTTCACTGCGTTGCTGATTGCGCCTCGATTCGCCTGCTAGAGTCAGTCGATTTCGGCAACTTGGCACATTCCGAAGTTTGCCGGGCCGTTTAAGAAACATTTACGCGCAACTAGGTCGCAATGTTTGACGCGTGGTCTTCCTAGGTGATACTGAGGACGACTGCATTGTTTTTTTCAAAAACAAAAATGAAGCAGAGTTGTCCTTTAATTCCATGGACCAAAATGGCACCCAAACAAACGGGAAGCCTGGAGATACTTCCTCAAGATCCAGCCTGCACCAGCTACTTTCTGCCATGCTGTCGCTGCACGGGATGCGCTGCATAGATTCACTCCAAAGGCAACTCTGACGCAACTAAGAGCTTGCAAATGCTGGAGAAGGAGCTGTTCCTCGCCAGAGGTGTGGTCATGTGCCAGCAGAAGCTGACAGACTTTTCCCAATTGTTAACAACACTCATACAATTCTGTCTCATTCTTTACTATTTTTTTTTATTTAGTGCCTAGGAATGTCGAGTTCATATACGTTTTCCCAGAAAGTATGTTTGTATTCTTACTTTTTTTCTTCTAAATGTCTAAACGAGATTCTTTGATTATAAAAACCTGTATTTTATTGTTCATAATTTACGCCTGGCAACTATACTCCATTTCGCTATTGCGAAGGCACGGACAGGTGAGCCTAGATAAGCCAAATGCTTGTTTGTTTACAACAAACAAAAGCATTAGTCAAGGCAGACTTTCTTTTTTAAAGTATCGTGAAATGGATAGTTCAAAATGCTTCGATAAAGTGTCCTGCAAGGGATACTTTAATTAAAGTATCCCGTAATCAACACACTCTGGTTTTATTTTTCCACGCTGCACGGCCCCTTTAACTGTCTCGCTCTTAAGTGGTAGAAAGATTTGTTTAATGTCACGCAGATACGAGGGTGATGGAAAAAATATCTGGCTGTAAAGATTATTTTAATGTAAATCTTCTTATTCATGAACTATTGCATAGACAAGGCCTTGAGTGACATGCAAATAATCTGTCACATCATCCGTTATCACTCATGTGCACGCTCAATGTCGTCGTCATTCGTGGACCCGGACAAGCGTCTGGCTCCTTCTCCATGGTGGACGCTTGTGCGTCCTTTCCTGAACTTCTCTATCCATTCCGACTCACTTCTTTGCAACAAAACATTTCCTTTATGCACTACACAACATCCTCGATAAATGTCGGCACCAGACACACCCTCAGGCCGCAAAAACGACTGCTCCCCATTTGTTCAAATCCCAAGTGGGGCAGCAATTGTTTTTGGCATCGCAGACACGACCGAACTGGCTCGACATGTCCCAACCCATACAGCAGTGGCTGGAGACGCAACCTTGCACCAAAGGCGCCGATAAGACACTGCGGCCAACAAAAGTTTTAATATCGCCGGAGTACGGGTAATGTTCTAATTACCCTCAAAATTAATCTTTCACAATCATTTGTCTTTTATTTGAAACAAAAAACTACATTGTGTGTATGTTTATATATTCTGAAGTTAGTCTGCCTCAACGGGCAGCTTGTCTCTCAGCTGTAGATGAGACACTTTAGCCAGTGCAGTAGAACCGCTAGCATGGGGTCTTTAACATGCATCACACACTAGTGGTACACGAACGCACGCCGGTACGAGGCTCATCCAGATCAAAACAAGCAGGGGTGGAGTTTGAACCCAGGATCCCCGAATTCTGCATCGCGAGCTTTCACTTCACGTGCTCCGAGCCGGCATGTGCTAGCCCACTCAGCCACCGATCCCCCATTTTTTTCCCTTCTTTAAAGCTTACTTATTTCACATTTTACAGTATAAAAGCCACTAAACCAACACATTTTTTAGGATGATCAATACATTCTTGTAACTTGACTCGAACAGACTGTCGTTTTACCGAGCCTGTCGTTCAGACTGACAATCCAAACAACAGGCTTGGTAAAAAAAAAGAAAAATGCACCCAGCCCACGTTTGTGGCAAGCCGTATCCAGAGCCGTATATGTAGAGGGTTTGGCCATTTGTTGGGAAGTATAGGAGACAAAGGAGGAGGCGCCATTGGCCGAAAGCGGGCTGGGCGTGTTCCAGGGCGTCTTCACTCATTCGAATGTGGCCAGTCAGAAGCTAGAAATAATACCCTGGCGGTGGCTGCGAGAAACAAACTTGATAAGTGCGTCAGAGTAACTCTCGGTGGCTCAAAATATGGTGCACGGGATGTTTCAATCACGGTCATCCAAGATCATGGTGGAAGAGCGCAACTAGAGGATCAATCAACATAATCCGTACCCCAGGCGCCAAAGGCTGTGAATCTGCCGTCCGAGCGGTCACAATCTGTTCGAGCAAAACAAAGTTTGAGTGGCACATTCGTTTCTTACATCTTTCTGCGTGATCATGATCAAAACATCACTTGCACCCTATTTTCAATCATGAAGGGTTACTACACTTTACTCTTACGGGTTTATTAAAACCATATACCAACGTATACCTTTGATTAAAACAGTTTCTCGCTACCACTGCTAGGGGATTCTTTTAGGCTTCTGGTTGGCCAAGGGAGCCTGTCAAGACCACTTTCTGCATCTGGTGTATGCCCTGGCTCTGCGTGCGCCTCCCATTGACCAAACTCCCTGTATACATAGCTCTGGCCGTATCTAATCCGTTAACCACAAAATTGAATAAATTTGTTTACGCAACTGTCGGTTTTGCTGCGAAAGCAGCCCTTACCTTCGGAGTTCTCCTGCGTGGCGGTGGGTGCTGTTGCGGCGAGAGTGAACGAGAACGTTGGCTTGCTCGCTGCTGGGGTACCCAGGTTTGAGAAACCAGATATAGACTTGGATGTTGATATTGCAGAACTGCCAGGCAGATCTACTGCATTAGAAAGAGAGGGAGAAGAACAAAGACATCTAAGTCAGAAATCTGTCTGGTTGGATGAAACTACAGTAATACAAAAAAAACATACTCCGACCAAAACCTTAATTAAGAAAGTAATGTTTCGAAACCTGCTCGGCTTCTTCGGAAGCCAAAATCAGGAGCCCCGCCTCGTCGCGCGCATCAGCGTCCCCTACGTAAAGTGAACCGGCGAAGTGCTGGCGCGCGTGTCGAGAAAAGAAGGTGTTTAAGTGGCCCGCAAACCAGTGTCCACCCTGGGACGATTCATGCCGCAACCAAAAGATTGAGTCCCAAAAAGAAAAAGAGCAGGACGTGATAACCGTATACCGTGCGCAGTGTGCCCTGCCATCCACATTAGGCAAATGAAGATCTTTTCAAAACAAATCCGCCAGCACAAGAATGACGCGCGAAAGTTTGACAGTGAGCGCAAAGACGTCGCCGAACGCCACGAGGTCCTTAACCATCGGATCGATTTCGTGAATGCACGCGTGATCGACATCGAGCTTCATTTTCGGAAAAGGCTGTTCCTAGCGAAGTGGCACGTCTGGCACACTCCAGAAAATTTAAATGGGCTTCGGGTGCCTTGCCTTCTGTGTGCGCGCCCAGGGTCTACACCACCTACCAAAAACAAAGAAGATTAACGAAGGACTGCCTCTGTAGAAAAGGGTTGTTCTTGGCAAACACAATGAGACAAAAATAGTGCAAAAAAGGTGCAAAAGGAAGCAACAAACTGGACAGGACAGAGTGCTGGTTGTTTGTCCCTTCTTTTTGTACCTTTTTTTGCCCTGTTTTATCTCATTGTGTTTAACAACTACCAACTATTCTCGGCAGACGAAGAAGACGAGAGCTGCTGCCGCCCCGTGCGATTCAGTCACCCCTGAAGAAACAAACGTTTCAAAATGCTGGGTTACATTCTGAAGGCATTTGTTTGAGTATTTCTTTTCTATTACCTGAAAGGGAGGAGAGCTTTTATAAAGGTGGACTTATACATGTTTAAAACTTTGCAGTGCAAACTATACAGGAACTTGTTTTTTCTGAAAACAAGCAAACCACCCTCCTTTGTGCGCAAATAAAATAGGTATTTCTCAAGGTGAGCTGTGTATGATAATTTTTTATGTGTGGACTATGCAGAATGTAAACTATTTAAGAAAATTTTCTTTTATTCATCCGAAATTTATTTTGCATGTATGCAATGGGTGTGGATCCCTAAAATATGGTACACAATATCAGAGGATCCTGGAAAAATAGTGACAGGGTGGGCCGCTTTGGTCCATGGAGCATTGGCATTGACAAATTCCTTTCCAAGAAAATGATTTCCTGTAGACCGACACTCTGTTTGGTCTGCAATTTGTTTCATTATCGCAATACCGGTCATTATACAGGGGTGGAACTCATGAAATGTATTTGGGAGCAGCCACGGGAGCAGCTGAAACCGCTGTTTTGGAGCAGGTTGGGAGCAGCTAAAACTACATTCTGGAGCAGGCTAGGAGCAGCTCAGATCAGTTTTCACTGCACTTCAGCTTGTGTCTTAGACGAGCACGGGAGCAATTTCAATTGTGCTTAGCAGCACAGATGAACATGAGTGGTTAGGGACCTAGGTAATGGGATAACAGTGTAACAGATGCCAAAACTTGAAACTTTGTGAGCCTTAATGAGAATCAAAAAGCAAGTACCATATGTTTCTGAAGATGGTGTCCTTGATACTTTCTGAGTGGCTTTCAGCTGCTCAAAATGCAAATCAGCACTGCTTATCGCACAACCCCCACGTGCTCGACATAGTAATTATATGTGCGAACCTCTTGACGTGCGAAAGCAACGGACGTGCAGTTGCGTGGAGGAACAGGGCAACACATTTCGAGTTTATCCTATTGTGCAACTCAATATCGAAGCAGCAGACTACAATTAACGGAGTTATCGTATTCAAAGCGATTAGCGGGAGCAAGGTTAAAGTACGCAGAGCAGATCTACCGCTCGCGTGACAGCAGCTGGCAGGCAAGGTTCCGGATCGGACCGCGTTTCAGTTCTATCAAATCGCAATTATCTTGCGGGAATGCTGTTTCAACTTCTAACGATGAAGTACTAAAAGGAATATTTTGCTCATTTGTTTTCAATTGGCTGACGTCCGGATCCCGGGCTGCAGAGCCTCAGGCAATCTGACGCTTAACGACTCGACCTCACCTCGGTCGACTTGCTTAACAGCTTATGGTTGAAGAATAACAGTCCAGTCGCAGGTGTAGCGATTCGAATCCGATCCCCGAGTTTTTTCGCGCGCTTCCGACTCGGGATACACAGGGAGAATAAACAGAACAAAGGATTGCAAGGCCGACCAAGCTAAACGGGCTAATTGTTGCCAATCGAGTCGATAAGAACCGAAACCAAGACAAAATACTTTTTTGTTTTTGGCGCACGTTGTGCGATTTGGTGCATAATGGCGCAAGGTATTGGCTGTGGCGCAGTTTCCGTGAAATGGCGCAGGATGGCGCAGACAAATGCGTCTGGCGCAAAATGGCGTAAATGGCGCAGCCGTTCCACCCCTGTTATACAAGAAGTGTTTGAGAAATGAGAACTGTGTTTTTCGGCCCGGGTAAATAAACTATGCATCGCAGAAAGCTCGAATTCCATGAGAACGTGACGCTAGTGGTTGGGATAGAACGTAAGAGTTTAAGAATGTGACGTTACTTTGATTAAAAGATAATTGAAAAGAACAAAATTTCTCAAAGAGCCAACACCCACTTAAGCCTAATATCGTTAAAACAAGAACTGACATTCTGGGGCCATGTACTGGTATCTACTTCAGTGGGGAAAAAAACTTCTCAGCAAGAAAAAGGATATTAGGGGCAAAGCTCCTTAGGGGCTAGCCATGTCTGTATGTCCGTCCGCCGTCCGGCGTGCCCCTGCTCGTGAGCTCAGGAGCAGGAGCTCACGAGCTCCTGCTCGTGAGTTCAGCAGCGAGAGCAAGAAAAAAAAATGAAAAAAAAAGGTGAAAAAAAAGAAAACAAGAAAAAGAAAAAAAAAAAAATAGGGGGCTCTGAGATGCCATCCCATATGTCTTCTTAAAAAAAAAAAAAAAAGAAAACCACACATTCTTTAACTGGCATGAATGAAAACGGCACCATCAGCACTACCTATGACCAAAATCAGTATCAAGAAAAATAAGAAAAAAAAGAGTAGGGGGTTCTGAGTTATCCCATCTGCCTTCTTAAAAAAAGAAAAAGAAGAAAACCACACATTCTCCTACTGACATGAATGAAAACGGCACCATCAGCACTACCTATGACCAAAATCAGTATCATCAGCACTACCCGAGCTTCGCCCCAATCAACATCATTCACCACGTGGAGATGCGGTAATTTTTTGTTTTCTTTCTTGCCGAGAAGTTTTTTCCACTGAAACAGACACTACAGGTGCGCACAGTGTCATTTCTTGTTTTGATAAGATTAGGCTTAGCTAGACATTTTTATTTTCTTCTGAATTATCCTTTCATCTAGGTGATGTTGTGTTCCGAACTGATTACAAACAGTTTCATAGCATCCAATGAATGCTTTGGAAGCTTGCTTCAGCAACCGTGCAGCAGCACGAAACAAATAATCTGCATGCTTTTTTTTTTAGACTGCCCGCTCAATCTACGAGCCTGCCTGCCAGTGAGGTTGTGGCACTGAAAAGGGGGGGTATATATTTGAATGTTGGTTCAGGCATCAACTTCATCTGTCAATTTCACAATAACCTGTAAAAGGGTTGATAATTGGACTAGTTGGTATTTAAACATCTAAACTGTTTAAAAAATCTAAACACCTAAAATGTCTTTTCTCTCTACGTGTATGCTAATACCGTTTAGATGTTCATAATAACAGTGATAGAAGTCACATTCAACTTTTTTTAGCAGGTTCTCTAGCAGGCAAAATATTGATTTGGAGCAGCCACTGACAAGTGACTGTACTGTACTTCCTCTTTGATAATGATAGAGGGTTCCTCTTTGATACTGGAGCACGTTACTTACTGTATTTGCATGAAAATAATGCGACCACAAATATAACGCGAGGGCAGGTTTTGATGCCCTCAAAAGAAAAAAAAAAATTAAGGTACACCTAAGCATTCCTTACGAGTTGTGAATGCAAAAGCATGTGAGCCGCTCGTCTGCTCCCTTTTTCGTCTGTTGCGTACTTCTCGTCGCCGGTCAGCGCGTGAGCTCCCCTAGGCACAGTGACCTTGGACGCTCTGTGTTAACGGCGCGCTGATGGACAGGTAGCGCCATGGGGTGAGCGGTTGTGGAGACTGATGCGCACAGTGGCCAATGGGAGCCCCGTCGACACGTGCCAGCCAATGGAACCAAAGGATCGGGGAAACTTTGTGCCGTTTTCGTGCTTCAGACTGATGACGTCAGCTCGCTCCATAAGACAGTTAATGCTTTTGCATTAAAAATATTATTGCTCTTATTATGCAAGCCGAGGCCGCGTAAATTTCCCGTACTTGGGGGCATAACAGAAGCGAAAAGGCAATGGAAATAGAAGAAATATCAGTTTATGTATTGGCTGCTCTCATTCTCACTGCTCAGGTCCTTCCGTTTACAATCCACTTGGCGACTACGCAGATAAGCAGCAGCACGGCGCAGCTTGTCTGGTAGCTCCTTTTTCTTCGGCGTGAGCTCCTCGGCAGCCCACAAGCAAAGCAAGGCATGAAGCAGAAGTACCAACACACAAACACCAGACCACTGTGGAGCAGAAACTAAGCAGAAACAGGCAGAAAAAAGACTGCTGAACCTGATACACGATCACACTCATTGGGCGCATTAAGTTAGTGAGCTGCAGGCTCTGGACATCTGCGCTCCAGCGCGAGATGTCCAGGTTAAGGGGGCGCAGCTTCACGACCGCACTTTGTTTCGTACTGAGGCACCATCTGATGCCTATTTTTTAATGTTTCCGGTTCCAGCTTTCCGGCGCGCGTTTAAACATGGCTCTCGTCACGTCGAAAATCGTTAA